ATGCTAGGCCACAAGAATCTCCTGAGCCGACCAAGCATAGAAATAAATACAATATGGGAACCAGTAATAAGGAGTGCCAGAGAAAAGCAATGATAACAACAAAGTTGCAATATGAGCTCTGGTAAAAACATGCAATTACAAAATTGAAATATGAGCACTGGTAAAAATGGTTGCTGAAAACATTAGGTTTATAATACCCAGAAATTCATACCCAGATGTCCTTTATCCACTGTGCCATGTGTCCTTGAGGATACAAGGCACAGTGGATAAAGGCGTTGGTTAGATCCAGTGACAGGAGCTCAAAGGTGTGAGTTCAATACCCGGTTAAGGCAGTCGAGAACTTTCAGAGGGAAATCAACAGGAGATAACTGATAACTGACATCCATTAAACATGGCACGTGGAATTAGAACAGTCTATCCTAGTGAGCGAAATAAAGGGTTCCGTTCGAAATTCCAACCACCTGAAGAAGGCCGGAGCGTACAACGAGCGAAAGGTTGTGATAAATATGGCGACAAAGATGAGTCCGAATAATGTAAATAATATAAATAATTATATATATAAGATAAGAAATAAAAATAAAAAATAAAAAAAGCAAAATAATTTAACCCAAATAAATAAATAAACGACTTCCGGCAAAATCACCCACAAAGTACTACCCACAATGCACCACTGACCCGTATATATAAATAAGCGAGAAAAAAATAGCACTCGTGATCTGACGATTGCATCTAGCATGAAACAGATTGTCGCCTCTAAGTGTTGACTTCTATGTTCACTTTTAGATTTACACACGCTCTATCTCTGATATTGAGCACTTTATCCCATAATTATAGCACACCTTAAGAGTATATTTCTTCATATATATATATATATACATATATATATATATATATATAGGAAGTATGGTGGAGTACTAATCCTTCTCTACTCCCTCCAGCTATGGGTAAATAGCAGGAGAGACTGGTTTCTATAGCCTTGGGGGGTAACTGGTCTATGAGAAGGACAACACTTCAAAACCTACGGAGGGGAGTTTGGGGATCTTGTGGCACGTAGTGGATCAGGTCTATGTATTCGACCTTTCAAAAAGTGTGGTTGGTTCTGCACAAAGCCTTCAGTATTATAATCAAATCATATGTGGTGTCGGTTTCTAGGAACTGAGCTGCTTGACCTTCATACGTTGAATACGACGCGAAAGTCCACCACATGCATACACACACAATATATATATATATATATATATATATATATATATATATATATATATATAATAAGAAAAAACAGTAAAACATGGTAGCGAAAAAAACATATTTTAAATCAGTTAATATATATATATATATATATATATATATATATATATATATATATGCTAGAATAAATAATAATTTAATACGCTAGAAATACCCTAAAGCAATGATTCCCAGCGTTGGGAGCCTGCCCCGCCGGTGGATCATGATAATATTTTAGTGTGGATGCGTAGAATGTGCACCCTTCGGCTTACTATACCAACAGAATAAGAAGGTTATTCGAGAAAGAGTTATTAACAGTGGATTGTTTTCTAGCGAGTCTGAGTAAGAGTGTTAATGTTAATGTGTGTTCATACATACGATGCATATACAATATGAATACATGTGTACATGTGTAATTGGCATAGGGGGTATTTAGCTCGCATGTCTGGGTCAACAAAGGATAGAGTGTTATGCATGTCCCTGGAAGAGCCCATGATTTGTCGGGCATCAGCGAGTGTGAGCATTCAGTTTGCTTCCCTCACGTGAATAGCAGTAAAATTTTGAATATGTAAGAATTAAATATTACGGCGGGGGGGGGGCATAATTTTATAGATACCAAAGTTAGGCAATGCCCAAAATCGATTGGGAAACACTGCCCTAAATATTCTGTATAATTATCGATATTCGCTCATTCCATGCAATTACTTATGAAACCGTAGATTAATTTATATCCATTCGCTTGTAAATCTGCTTTACCTTTATATTCCTTATATATTTTCTAACAGTCCCTTACTTTTCCTTTCTATTCGCTTACATTCCATTATAATAGACAATAAACACTTACAATTACAACTCATAATCGATTTACATTGCAAAGTCATTTCCCATTCTGTATTATTCTCTATTATAACATTACCTCATAGACTCTTATACTGTCTATATCTCAAAGATTAATTACATTATTTACATTATTCAGACTGTTATCATCATCTTCATTTCCATATTCACAACATTTTGGCCTCTGTATCTCTGAGATGAGGTATTATGATTACTTGCATTATTTATATTATTCGGACTGTTATCCACATCATCATTTCCATATTCAAAACATTTCAGCCTCTATATCTCTGAGATGAGGTATTATGATTATTTGGATTATTTACATTATTCGGACTATAATCCTCATCCTCATTGCCGTATTCTACGCTCCAGCCTTCTTCAGGTGATTGGAATTTCGAACCGAACCCTTTATTTATATTGTTCTAGTTCCACGTGCCATGTCTCAGTCATTTCCCTTTCACTCTATTCTCCAAGTTATTCGCGTTCCACTGCTATAGCCTGGTATTGAACTCACAACTCTTTTGGTCTAGTAACTGGATCTAATATTTATCTATGCGTACTTGAGAACATCAGTGTATGATTTCTGGAACTTATAAACCTAATGTATGAGCAATCTTTTTTTACCAGTATTCATATTGAAATTGTTCTGTTATTGCAATTTTTTACCAGAGTTTATATTGCAATTTTTGTTGTTATTCATTGCTTTTCTCTAGCACTCCATATTATTGCTTCCCATATTGTATTCTTTTCTATGATTGGTCGGCCCAGGAGATTTTTGTGGACTGGCATATGTGCTGATTCCTTAACATTTTATATTTTCCAGTGATGTGCTCAGTCTATTATTTCAATCTCATTTCACAGGAGGCGGTGATCTCCCTTTTCCTTCCATATGTGGTCAGCTACGCCTGATTTTTCTATTTCCCCTCGTGTTACCTAGTAATGTAAATAGACTTTTATATCTCCTTATCTTCACTAATAGTTATTTATTTTATACTAGCCGACCTACCCGGCCTTGCTCGGGCGTATATGTCTGCAATTTTATAACCGCACCCACTGTATACCCGCACCCCCTGTCTAGAAATGTCTGCCTGCGTCCCTGCTTGCATCCATCCTCCGTTGGTATACTAAGCTACTCCCCTCTCATCTTTATTACGGTAGTGCTTGATTATTCTTAATAAAGGAATTCCATCGATAAAACCTCTTTGTGTGGTCGTTACTCGAGTTTAAATTGTTTCAATGTTTTAGATATTCAGTAAATTTCCTAAGCCTTTAATAACTTTCAAATAGTATGGCATTGTTCACAAATCTAATAATCAAACAAAAACAGGGATGATCGTCAGAGAGTGATTCAACTGCAAATGAAAACACATGAACTCCCCCTCCTTCTTTGCACGTTTACTGTAAAGCTGGGGTTAATAAGAGGTTCTTCGGAAATTTTTCCCTTTTAACGCTTCAATAATCCTTCTCAAACAATCTTTGCATTCGAATGCCAATTTAGGATGGAATCATATAAAAAAAACTATTGGGTAGATGACAAACACTGATTTTTGACCTAATTTATCGCAGAATTCGTCCACTTAACTGAAATGATCTAAAGCAAACTTTCACGCAAGACGATTTGTGTATCACATATAATTTAAATGGCAAATTTGGAAGGCATCGGATGAAAAACCAGGGAGTTATGGCCGAAAAATTGACTTTTTGAACGGTTTTTCATAGTTTTTCTTTATACGCGAGGAAGCGAGTAGGACTAAAACTACTTTATCTTATTTCTTGCATGATGGCAAATATTTTGCGACATGTTTGAAGAAAATCTGATAAAAACATTTATAAACCTTTAATTTCCGTTCAAAATCTTCGATGTTTCCTCATATTCATGTAGAAAGATTTTTTTTATTATTTCTAATATATTCCTTCATATTCGTTACTTGATTCTTGTTTCTTCTGATATTCTCTTGCATTCCTTTCCGTTCTTTTTTTCATAATCTTTATTCTTAATTTACATTCTGTCCTATTCCGTTGTTATTCTTTAATTCCCTGTATATTTGCTTTCCTTATATTCACCTATCTTTCCGTTAGAGCCTCTGATATTCCCCCCAAAAAATGCTATTAATATTTCACCATCACTGAATTTACTTCAGTCATTATGAATAGACAAACTACGAGGCTCCTTCCTTAGAATGTCTATTACCCAACTTCACCCCAGACCTGCAGTGGAACTCATATGTGCGATCCATCGCTAAAGAAACCAGAAAATAAATTGCCTCCTTTTACCATTCCAGAAAGTTCTTGACTCATTCTGACAAATCAGACCAAAAATGGAATATTGTTCCCATATTTAAACAGCAGCTGCCCATTTCTCATTTTCCAGGCTTGAAAACGTTCAAGAGTGTTTACGTGACCTCTTGAGAGATAAATTCTTTTCAGCCCTACAGCGCCTTTACCATAAACGAAATTCTATCACTATCTCCATGAAAGAGGTAGAAAGACAGAGAGGTGGAAGGAGAAAAGTGGAAAAAGAAAGGGGGAGGTGGAAAGAGAGAGGTGGAAAGAGAGAGGTGGAAAGAGAGAGGTGGAAAGAGATAGATTGAAGGAGAGATGTGAAAAGAGAGATGGAAGGAGAAAGGTAGAAAGAGAGAGGTGGAAAGAACTAGCAGTGGAAGGGGGAGGTGGAAAGAGAGAGGTGGAATCAGAGAGGTGGAAAGAGATAGATTGAAGGAGAGATGTGGAAAGAGAGAGATGGAAGGAGAAAGGTAAAAAGAACTAGCAGTGGAAAGAGGGGGGTGGAAAGAGAGAGGTGGAAGGAGAGAGGTGGAAAGAGATAGGTTAAAGGAGAGAGGTGGAAAAAGAGAGGTAGAAGGAGAGAGGTAGAAAGAGAGGTGGAAAGACATAGAGGTGGAACGAGAAAGGTAGAAAGAGATAGGTGGAAAAAACTAGCAGTGGAAAGAGAGAGATGGAAAGAGAGAGAGAGGTGGAACGAAAAAGCTAAAAAGAGAAAGAACTAGCAGTGGAAAGAGGGAGGTGAAAATAAAGAGGTGGAAGGAGAAAGTTGGAAAGAGATAGATTGAAGGAGAGAGGTGGAAAGAGAGAGGTGGAAAGACAGAGAGGTGGAACAAGAAAGGTAGAAAGAGAGAGGTGGAGGAGAGAGGTGGAACAAGAAAGGTAGAAAGAGAGAGGTAGAAAAAAAGAGAGAAAGGAGAGAGAGGTGGAAAGAGAGGTGGAAAGACAGAGAGGTGGAACAGGAAAAGTAGAAAGAGAGAGGTGGAAAGAACTAGCAGTGGAAAGAGAAAGGTGGAAAGAGAGAGGTGGAGGAGAGAGGTGGAAAGAGAGAGGTGGAAGGTGAGAGGTGGAAAGAGAGGTGGAAAGACAGATAGTTGGAACAAGAACGGTAAAAGAGAGATGGAAAGAACGAGCAGTGGAATGAGGGAGGTAGAAAGAGAGAGGTGGAAGGAGAGTGATGGAAAGAGAGAAGTGAATAAAGAGAGGTAAGAGAGAGGTTGAAAGAAACTTAAATCATTATGCCTCCGACGGTCGACGTACGTCGGATTCACATACATTTAGTGTTACACTACCCGTGACCCGTTGAGTCAATGAAGGTTCAGATTATAAAACATAAAGTTGCTTTCAACATTTAAAAAAATTGTCTGTTTGGAGAAATTTGAAATAAAGATACTTACTGTATAAACAAAATCGTATTTTTAAATCATATTCACTTGAAAATATTTTCAAATATGGCAAAAATATTTTTAAATATTTAAAATATTGTTTGTTTAAAGAAAGCTGAAATATAAATAAGCACGCACGGCATCACGGGAAGGTGGAAAGAGAGAGCAATGGAAAGAGAGAGAGAGACATGGAAAGAGAGAGAGGTGGAAAGAGAGAGAGAGGTGGGAAATAGAGAGGTGGAAGGAGAGAGATGGAAAGAACTTGCAGTGGAAAGAGAGAGGGGGAAGAGAGAAGTGGAAGGAGTGAGGTGGAAAGAGAGAGGTGGAAAGAGTGAGAGGTGGAAAGAAAGAGAGAGGTGGAAAGAGAGAGAGAGGTGGAAAGAGAGAGAGAGGTGGCAAAGAGAGAATGGTGGGAAATAGAGAGGTGGAAGGAGAGAGATGGAAAGAGAGAGGTGGAAAGAGTGCGAGGTGGAAGAGAGAGCTATAAAGACAGAGCGTTGTTTTTTCTTTTTTGGTCTCACTGTCAATTCATGTATACACACCATTTCCGTCTCTCCTCCCTCTGCCTACCTGATAATAATTTTACATCTTTCTTCCCTCCAATCTCTATATACGACTTCGTGTGTACGGTGGAAAACACACAAAATGCAAGCAAGCAAACAAATTTCACATAGTTTTAGTATTATATATATATATATATATATATATATATATATATATATATATATATATATATATATATAAATGAACATTGAAATCAAAAACCTTCCCTACTCAGTAGAAGATGTGAAAGAAATCACCAAATTGTGTAAGACTTGAGCTGAAAATAAACCGAGGTTTTACCGTTCTAACCCCAGCAAAGTCATAAAAGTCACGCAACACTATGAAAGAATCGGAGTGGATTTTAAAGGACCTCATTCGTCAAAAACTCCTAACAAATATATGCTGACAATAAGTGACGAATATTCGCGGTTGCCTTTCGCAATATCCTGCCTCAATGTATCCTCTACAAGGGTCATACAAGCACTTTGCTCTTTTTTTGCCGTCTTCAGGTTACCTGCGTATATTCAGTCAGACAGGGGGGCTTCATTTATATCCGAAAGCGTACGGCACTTCCTACTAGAGCAAGGAGTAGGCGTATGTAGAACAACCCCCTATAACCCTCAAGGTAATGGCCAGTGCGACGGATATAACGGAATAATTTGGAAAACTGTTCAACTAGCAGCTGCTGATGGAGGGAAACAGAGGCCCTGCATGCAATCAGAACGCCGCTATGTACTGCCACTAACGCAATATCCTATGACTGATTCCTCCCATTTCCTAGTAGTTTTACTGAAGCATCCCTACCATCTTGGCTCTCGAATACGGGAGTAATATTACTAAAAAGACGCACGCGACTGAATAAGAACGAATCACTGGTGGATCAAGTGAAGCTTTTAGACGCCAACCTCCAGTAAGCTCGTGTCTCTGATGGACTGGAAGACACAGTCTCACTAAGGGACTTGCCTCCAGAAGGGGATGAATCGAGATACACGAGCCTAAGCGAGGGTTGTCCTGAGGATAATTCAGCTGACTATAAAGAAACAGAAACATGGTCTCCTTTTGAAGATTACGAGGAACCATTGAGCTCTGGTCTCTCAAGTAGTGACGGACGGGTTTCACAGAAAGGAACCCACCCACCTACCGATACTTCAGAGGACGAGCAAGCCACTCGTAGAAGATTACAAAATGCAGTAGGATTAAATCCAGTCCTAGCGAGAAAGAGGAAGGACCTCATCATGCTCCTGGCAATCCACCACAGTCACGCAGACAGCAAAGTATGCCTGCTCGATTCATGAACGCCTATGTAAGAACGAGGCAGGGGAGAATGAAGCATGAGCCATCTCCCCCATTAATGGATGTGTCCTGAATACATATATTCAGGAGAACTCTTCTTATAGGCTAAGTTTATTAAAGCCTATTGATAAGCAAATACGTATTGTTTCGAACAATTCTAGGAAAAATATTCATTAAGCTCGTATACAAACACTTCCTCCTTAAGCACTCTCCACAAGCCATTCAACAGCAATACAGTAAAAATCAGATACAGTTGTACCGTGAACATTACACAAATAATAAAAAGCACAACAGAAAAACAACTAACAAACCACTTGCACAAATCAAACCCACCTCTAACTACAGAGCAAAACACTAGTGTCCCTTAAATGGCAAATGTTTGTAAAACAATATAATATACCAAGCCACTTTAAAATCAGCAGATAACGAAGGAAAAATATTCATAGAAGTAACTGAAGGACTCTGGAAACAGAGATGAAAAATGTAAATACACGCACTATATACAACGCGGATAATGTAACATACTTTAAGCTGAAAAAGATAACCATTTCCCGAAAGGAAATAATAAGCAGAAAAAATGTAAATAAATGAAGAAACTATATAAATAATAAAGAAATTAACTGCAAATCTACACATAAATATAAGTAAAAGTCATAAAAATAATCAACGAAAAAAAAATCAAGTAATCAATAAGAAATAATGAGCAAAAGGTTCACAAACAACAGACAATACCTTCAAATAGACACATTTGGATGTCTAATTAATTATAATTTGACTTATAAACGCTACCGCCTAGCCAATAACGGATAGGGTAATATAACAGATGCTGCTACCCATAATATCTGATTGAGCACTATATATAAATACCACAGCCAACGCACAAGATACATGGCCCGAAGGTTGAAACACTTTTATATTTACACACACTCTATCCTTGATGCTGAGTACTTTTATCCATAATATAGCATACCATAAAAGTATATTTTACATATATATATATATATATATATATATATATATATATATATATATATATATAAGATACCTAATATCTTAGGTTTTGGTCTGCTTCGTGTATTGAGAACTTTATGTAGTTGCCTTTTACTCGTTTTGGAGGGGTTTTTTCTTTGGACTTTGAGCTTGAACCGTGGACGATTGTTTTCGCTTTAGTTTAATGTTATTGGTTCTTTCTTTTTTTATTCCTCATTTTTTCTTGGTTATCGATTATCTACAAGTCGAACTGCGAGTACCACCATTTATACACACACACACACACACACACACACATATATATATATATATATATATATATATATGTAAAATGAGAACGAATCAAGTCCACTTCGGACGTACAAAGTGTTCAATATCATTTGAAAAGTTTTGTGTATTTCTTGGGATGTTAGTGAAGTACCTATTCACCTAGCCACTCTTAATACTCAATGAAAACAATAGCTGTAAATATAATTGATTTTACATTTCAATTGCAAACTAAATGACATTATTAATCTCGGTGCTATCCTAATCGACTGTGAAAAGGCTTAGTTGCTTTTTGCTTCTGGATAAATTAACTGAATTCAAGCTGTAAAACTAACAACAGATAAAAATCTTCTGTTCGTTTATTTGACGATGGAATCTTAAAAGATAATATTTGTTATTTATTAATTCTAAAGAATACGGTATTTATTTGTAAAATTATTCTTCGTTTTGATCGCACTGATTTTACCGATGCGAGATTTATGCTTATGGAAGCAAAATCTTTTCGCCTTCAAGAAATTTGATTTTAATCGATAATTGAATAAAGTCACTCTTGAAAGCATTGAAAAGTAAAACTCCAAAGAATATTACGATTAAAATGTTTTCCTTGTAATTATGCTTCTTATAAACTGGAAATCTTTTAGCAAACATAAATGGCAAGAGAGTGAATATAATATTTAATATATTTATTACGGTCCTGTACTTCTTTTTAGATACTTATTTGCTTGGATAAATGCAAATGAAAGATTTTATCTACATGTGAATAGACATCCATACAAGAACTGTGTACACATATGTCAAGATTCACTATATGCGTAATGACTTATGAATATAATATGAAAACATTTAAATACATGTGTATGTCTCTCAAGGCATATGAGCGTTAAAAGGGCAAGTGAATATTTATAGGGTTAATCCGGCTCGGTGCCTCTGCACAAAAAGCTAGGATTTTTTTCAAAAAAAACAAATTTGTGGCAATTACATTCCCCTTTTCAGATGAATTTAGTTATAAAACCGAGGAAAAAGGCGGTAAAATAAAATAGAAAATATGTTTGATTCTATCAAGTGCAAACAGAATTGTCCATATTGCTCGATACAAAAGCACTATTCAACAGTTTGCTTATATATATATATATATATATATATATATATATATATATATATATATATATATATCCATATGTATTCATATATATATATATATATATATATATAATGAATACATATGGATATTTTTACAAATACATATATACATAATTCTCCCTGCATACAATCTTTCTAACAATCTTTGTTATGCATACAAAACAAATACACACGTATGTAGTTGAATATGCATTCAATATTGCGTATATATATATATATATATATATATAGTCATCCACAGACAGACTGTTTCGCTGTATCACCGCTCATCAGTGTGGCTAGACATCCGATCGCTTCAGGCCGGAGATTGGCATAATCGGAGACTCCAACCCCTGGGCCATCGACGCCTGGCAGAGAGAAAGGCGAATTTTTGCGTGTTTATTTTTTCATAAACACTCCAGTCACTCAGAGAACTCAATTGCTAGGAGAGTCTTGCATTATCAGCAGTAATAGTGACTGTTTACAATTTTGTTCCTTACTTCTCACAGTGTTCGCCCGATTAAATAATTTTACTTTATTTAAGGATATTACATCAAAAGATGTAAAAAAAAAAAAAAACGCTACGGAAATGCAGCCATGTTTTGATGTATATCAACACATCTCATCAGTCGTCAATATTGCTGTAATTTTGTATTGAGCCTTCTTTTAAATGGAATTGC